TTTAGTTTTTACTGATTTGTATTGCAAGACACCTTGCAACTGTGCTGTATATGTGCTTTTCGTAATATACTGTCACTTATTGTAACTGTGATTATTCAGCAAGTCTATTTTCAGTAGGGAATTATGGTGCAGTTCAATGATTCAGAAGGGAGAGCTGTATTTTTCATGTCCACTGGTCACCTCCAAAATGCAGCAGGTCCTTGATTTTAGTAAACAAACGTCATTAATATTGTGTTATAAGTTTGGCATTTCATTCTCTCCCTGAGATGATACAATAGGAAACCATGTGATTTCTGTGGGTGTTGTGATATGCTGTATGCAAAGTCCCTTGGTGGTTTTCTGAGCATATTACTAGAGAAACTAGCCCCTAGTAAAAGGACTGGCATAGCTAAACAATGTTGTTTCCGTATAGAAAATCAGTAAGTCTGAATCCTGTCCACAGACATATAGCACCATGACTTCTTTTAAAATTATTTCAGGATTTTCTTTTTATACCAGTTTTCAAAAAATTAGTACAAATGCAGGTTGTTGAAGAGACATAATTTGACTGTAGGGGCAAATCCTGCCCTTGCCTCTAGAACCAATTCAATTCCCCTATGCAAAGGGGTGCATGATGCTGGGGTGATAGATGCTAATCTCCATAGGGTCCCCTGTGCTCTGACATGAGAGGGTTAGTGGGGTCATTGCTGAAGTGGGCTATGGAATGACTGAAGGCAGGGCTAAGTGGCTATTTGTGTCCTTCCCTCTCTACCGCCTGTGGTAGAGTTACACTGAGGCTGCGGCCTGAGTGGGAGAATGCCTCCCCTGCCCCATCACCCCTCAGAGCAATTGGCTGCTGTTTAGAATTTGGGTTATAATGTAGTGATAGTCGCTTGTAACCAAACAAATATACCACAGTTTAGTTGTGAAGTAACAGCAGCATTTAATAACTGCGTGAAAAATACCTTTGGGTGTATAGTTATACCTACATTTTGGAATAATATCATAAATACACAATGTTATGCAAAACAGTATTGGAAGACCTATTTTTGCATATGGCTAGAAGAAATTGCAACCCGCAATAGCCTTTTCCTGTGACATGGAGTAAAAGAGATATATCTTTGAATTTAGATTGAAACTCTAATTCACATTTAGCTGCTTTAATGAAAAGTAGCAAATACACTCTCTGGCACTGACAAGACTGAAAAACATTCTTTGTTGCAGTGTCATTAGCTACAGTGCAGTAGACTGTAAGTACATTATCAATGAACACTGTATATACAGGTTTTGTTTCTTTTCTGTAATTTCCTCCCTAAGGGTACCCCATGATGTCACTGATCCACTAAACCCACAGCTATACGGAACAGTGAGTGAGCTGTCAGTTTCTGAGTAGGCTCCGGCCTGAAATGCACATACAGAAGCTCAAAGCAATGAATAAGCTGTTTCTGAATTTTCAGTAGCTCAAAGGCTCTAAGCCTTTCTGGTTCTCTGTGAATCTTTTAGGACTAAACTTCACCTATTAAAGGCCAAGCCCCTACTCTGTCTGTTGTTTTTGACAACAGCATGGTAGCCAGTGGGGGAATGGCACGATTTTGGAGTCTGGAGAGCCTTCAGATGGGTATGTGTGAGTAGAAGGTGCACTCTTTTTATTCTCTGTATTGTTTCTGATTTAAAATTATCAAGTGTTAGTGTCACTGGGCTTGATTCTGATCACACTCTTGTTGTTGTAAAAAATGTAAACTCCACTGCAATCAACAGAGTTACACCAATGGAAAGCTGGATAGAGATCAGAATCAGGCCCACATTGTCTTAAGTTTTTGCAATCCATTAGAGCTACAGGGATACCCATCCCTATCTGTAAAATATTTACTCCTGCCGGTAAACATTAGAGGAATGGATACAGAGAGTAAGTGATTGGTTTTGTTGTTGTTTGTTTTTTGTGTTTTGTTTTTAATCTAGCTACCAAGGCAATGGAAGCTTCTTGACTGGTAAGGAATAACGAGCAGTTTCCAGTCCAAAATTACTCTCCTTTTTCATCTTTAGTTAAATGTTTTAGAGTATTTATGTCTACTATCTTTGCTGCAACAAACCAGTTGTCAATACTGACATTACAATGCGGCTGTAAAAATGAGATCCAGGATGAAGTTTACCACTTCAGATTTGAGGCTAGAAGCTGATTTTTATATATTATTTATTTACAGATTTTCAGGAAAGCAATGTCAGTGAGTTTTAAATGAGACAACTTTTAAAATATATATTTCTATTCGTTTTCAGATTTGTAACCCTATGGCTAGGAGATCTCAACTTTTTAATAGGAATTTTGCAGTCTCCTGGATTAGTTCTATGAGACATTAATATGAATGTATATTTTAAAATGTTCTGGGGTGGGTAGAATAACTTATTGTTTTACATCAAGACTGAGGGCAAAATTGTGTCCTTCTAAAGAAAGAAAGCCACAAGGTAAATGTTTTAACTGACCTTTGCATCCTATGGCCTTGATTACCCTTGAAAAATTAGTATCCATATAACAGGAAATGCTTGCAAGGATGCAAGTGTAAGCACTAATATAGACAGGGCTATCTATACTGTCATGAAAACCTATGGGTTACACATATTTATGCCCACTGCCCATGGCCCATCTGCGTGGGATCCAGAAAGCAAGGCAAGCCTCTCTGGTAGAGGTGGTTGGGAATTTTTTGGCTGACTGGCTTTTTGTCAAAACATTGCTTTTTGTGGAAATGTATAATTTTTGACAAAAGTTTTGCTGGGGAGGTTTTTCAGCTCCAAGATGGAATTTCTGGTCAAGACAAGAGTTAGAGAGGGAGACATCCAACCTAGAATAGCCAATACCTTCCTGGTTAGATCACTCACCTGGGATGTGGGAGGCGCAGATTTAAATCGCTTTTCCAAATCTGGCAGAGCAGGGACGAGAACCTGACTCTCCCAGGTTCCACACAAGTGCCCTAATCTCCCCATCACTTCTGCTTTTTTTCACCAAAAAATAAAATAAAATTCAAAATCGCTTGATTTCATCCCACTGCAGAATGGGGACATATTTTTTGAATCTTTAAAATTTTAATGGGATAGGAAAACCATTTCCCACCTAGTTCTACTCTCTGCTTCTTTCTCTTTCCTAGCCTAGTCCGTGCAGGATTACACTGCAGGCCATCTGCAAGGGCAGCGCGTGAATCCCCACTTCGGGGAAGCTACCCTGCCCCTTCCATCCCTGGAGCCCTGAGCCCTCCCCTCCCCTCAGCCAAGGAAGCCCCGCCCCGCCCACCCCTGCAGCTGCTGGGCAGCCCAAGCACCAGCCTGACCCCCGGGACACCAGCCGGCCCAACTACTGGCCCAATCCCCAGGCCAGTCCGAGCACTGGCTAGTGTTGCCAGGTGTCCAGTTTTCAACCGGCACACCGGGTCAAAAAGGGACCTTTGTGGCTCCGGTCAGCACCACTGACCGGACTGTTAAAAGTGTGGTTGGCAGCGCTGCCAGTGCTGCAGGACTGGCAGGCTCCCTACCCAGCTCCACGTGGCTCCCAGAAGCAGTCAGCATGTCCCTCTGGCTCCTAGGTGAAGGGGCAGCCACGGGGCTCTGCGTGCTGCTCCTGCCCCAAGTGCCGGCTCTGCAGCTCCCATTGGCTGGGAACTGCAGCCAATGGGAGTTGCAGGGAGCAGCACCTGCAGGCGTGGGCAGCGTGCAGAACCCCATGGCAGCTCCTTCACCTAGGAGCCGGAGGGACATCCTGGCTGCTTCCAGAATCCAGCTGAGGTAAGCGCTACCCGGAGCGCATGCCCCAGTCCCTTCCCACGCCCCAACATCCTGCCCCAGCCCTGAGCCCTCTCCTGCACCCCAAACCTCTCATCCCTGGCCCCACCCTAGAGTCCACACCCCCAGCCAGAGCCCTCACATCCCCTCTGCACCCCACTCCCCAGCCCGGAGCCCCCTCCCACACTCTGAATCCCTTGGCCCCAGCCCCACCCCAGAGTCCACACCACCAGCCAGAGCCCTCACCCCTCCCATACTCCAACCCCCTGCCCCAGCCTGGTGAAAATAAGCGAATGAGCAAGGGTGGGGGAGAGTGAGCAATGGAGGGAGGGAAGAAGGAGTGAGCAGGGGCGGGGCCTCAGAGAAGGGGTGGTGCAGGGGCATGGCTTCAGGGCAGGGTAGGGGTCAGGGCAAGGGTGTTCGATTTTCTGCAATTAGGAAGTTGGTAACACTAGCACTGGCCTGACCCCTGGACTGATGGTCGGCCGGGCTTCCTCAGGCCACCGAGCCCCAAGCTCCAGGCTGCCAGCCCAAGCTGAACCCCTTCTAGCTTCAGGGGAATGGGGGAGCAAGGGTGGGGCTTCAGGGTGGAGTAAGGGTGGGGCCTCAGCCTGAGTTGGGGAGACTAACCTGACCTACAATGCCCACTGCCCACCTGCCTAAGAGTCATATAAAGACTAGGGCCCAGATTTTTAAATGTATTTAGGCATTGCTGTGCTTAGAATTGGAATGCCTAAGTATCATTTTCAAAAGAGACTTAGGCACTTATGAGCCTAAATTGTTTTTGACAGTCAATGGGATTGAGGCTCCTAAGTGCCAAACCCCTTTTGAAAATTAACTTAGGCTCCTAAATCAGTTAGGCATTGGACTCCTGAGCTCAACAACACCTACATACCTTTTAAAATCTGGACCTAAATTCTTTCCCCTGAATCAGGGACCCCTGCAGGAAACTACCTACCTGTGACACAGGCCCAAAAAGTTTAATGGTTTACATCCAGGTTTACTTTTGTGTAGCTGTTTGCTTCAGTGGAGTTATTCCTGATTTGTATGGTTGTGTAAATGAGAGAAAATCACTCCCTAAGTAAACGCGTTGTTATATTTTCAAGAGCAAAGGCACTTTCTAAGGGGTTTTGCCTTAGCCTATTGGCAGCTTTATGTTCACATTTTGTCTTAAATTGTTTTTGTATGTTTGCTTTTCTGAGAAGACTTTGATTAAACCAAATTACTCTGTTTCAAGCCTGTCACTTTTGTTTTAGTTGTTACAGATGGTGGAACTGAATCTTCTGCCTTAGTTGATGACAATGGTAGTGAGGAGGATTACAGTTATGAGGAGCTCTGCCAACCCAGCCCTAGATACCTGCAGCCTGGAGGGGAACAGCTAGCAATTAATGAGGTAAGTGGAGGATACATTCTAGTATGTCTAACCTTTTGGTGATGATGTTGCATGCGTTTTATATAACCGTACTCAAGCTTGGGAGTCTCAGATCCAGACCTTTTTGCTGCATTATTCAATTTCTCAGACAGATAATTATACAAGGACACATTTCTCAAAATACTCGGCTCATCCTGAAACAGACTTATTTATCTCCTTTTTGTTTAATTATGCTTGTTTAGTTTTCTAGCAGTCTACGGATTGGTCTTTGCTGAGCTTTTGTCCTTCACCAACTCTTTCCCCCCCACATTTCAGCTGATAAGTGATGGCAGCATGGTCTATGCAGAGGCACTGTGGGACCATGTGACTATGGATGATCAAGAGCTGGGTTTTAAAGCTGGGGATGTCATCCGAGTCCTTGAAGCTTCCAACAAAGACTGGTGGTGGGGAAGAAATGAAGACAAGGAAGCCTGGTTTCCAGCTAGCTTTGTCAGGGTTAGTAACCTATGTCTGTTTCTTTTCTACAACGGGGGCCTGATTCACCACTGCATTATTGCAGCTTTACATCAGGCTCCTGGTAACATGTCAGTATAACAATGGCTTGTTTTATTTTGTTAAAAGTTGCTATTCTTGCTTCAGCATAATTTACTTGGCCACATTTTACCGTCACTTACTCCTGGGTAACCCTGTAAAAATCCAAATAGAAATGAGGACAGAGAACCAGCTCATCATTATTATTTGGACTATGTCCCATGGATGTAAAGGAACCAACACTAATACCACTCAAGAGTGGTCAATATGTATAGAAAGAGCACAACAGTTTTGGGGATGGAGATGGGAACATCTGTTCTACTCAGCATTCTCTTCTGATATTTCAGGGATTTTGGTGGTAAAATAATGCCAGACCTGTCAGCTTCATCAATTGTGGCAGTTCTGTCCATAATGTGAATACCTTATTCGCAGTTCAGCCAAGAGTCTCATGACAGTACAGCTGCTGAGGGATAGCTATTGCTGTATTGTATCATTAATTATATTACAGCATCTTCTAGATGCCACAACTGAAATTGGGGCCCCACAGTGCTAGGCACTGTACAAGCAAATTGTAAGAGACAGACCCACCATAAAGAGTTTACCATCTAAGCAGGCATGCTGAAGAAAGAGTGGGTGAAAGGCAGCATTGTTGTTCCCATTTTACAGATAAGAAACTGAGGCAGAGAGATTAAAGGTAAAATTTTCAAAAAATGCCTGAGTCACTTAGGCCCAGATTTTTAAAGGTATTTAGGCATTGCAATGTTGAATAAAGCAACACCTAAATACCTTTAAAAATGTGAACTTCAGGCACTCTTGAAAATATTATTCTTAAGTGATTTGTCCAAGAGCACATACAGAGTTAATACCAGAGCTGGGGCTATTAAACCCAGATCTCCCTCATCACAGTCCAGTGATTTAACCACACGGTCATTTTTCCTGTAAATTTTACCATTTCTGTGAATTAGGTGAATAATGAAGTTGATGGGACTCTAGTACAAAAATGTTCAATCTGACTTCAGAAAAATGTATTTTAACTTTAAATATCAGTGTGAGTGCCTCATCCTTTGGGAAAGGAGGACAATTGGGGAAGGGAGAAATGACTGTAACTGATTACTTCAGATCAGTGTCATCCTAATTTAACATGGAAAATAATGCCACAATTTTTTTATTTGAGTATTGGCAGTGAGTGCTCACTGCTCATGGTCTCTCTAATAAATCTGCACTTCTGTTCACAAAAAATACAGGCAACACTTATAGGATGGCCTTCAGATACTATGGTGATGAAGGTCCATATGGGTACCCAAAAAGAAAGAGTTGGCCCATTCCTGAAACCTTTACATTAGTAGCCAGTGGAAATACTTGAATAAGAGTTACATGATAGACCTTATTATGGAATCCTATTTCTACAACCTAGGACTGAGGACCAGTTATATAATAATAATAATTAATAATCGGTTATGAGCTGCCTCTATTGTAATTAAATAAAGTTTGTAATAGTTTTTAACATTTGTTTTTGTAACACCTTGCTGCACTACTCTAGCTGTCTTTTCTGTTATGAATGCAGCTACGAGTTAATCAGGAAGAACTACCAGAAAATTGTGGTAGCATCCAAGATGAAGAGCAACATGCAGATGCTAGTAAACATCGCCAAAAAATTGCTGAAAACAAGGATCAGATGAGAACCAATGTTATACAGGAAATAATGAACACGGAGAGAGTCTATATCAAACATCTCAAGGACATCTGTGAGGTAGTGTCAAGCCATAGACTTAGAGCATTCCACAGACCTAATTTGAACAAACGTCCCTTGTGAGTGAAAACTTGAGCATTTTCTGTTGTCAGAAGATTCATCATTGCAATTCTAAGGCTGTCAATGAGAATGCTCTCTTGTGCAGTTCTAACTCCCTTCTTTATTGAACACCATAATACATCTTTTTGAAAGAACACTTCATTTTGTACCTGTTAACAATGCTTTGCTTTCCTGACTGCAGTTTCCATGTTGGGGAGAGAGTCCAGCTTAGTTAGTATTTGCTACCACTTTGCCTCAGTAGATAACTATAAATCCATGTAATATGGTAGTATCTAGTTACAGTTTAGTGACTGATCATTTTGAAGGTGGTCTGCAGAGGAAAAAATGAAAAATTGGATTTGTGCTTTTTTTTTCTGGTCATTTATTATGTAATTCTAATTTTTTAAAATATTCTCCTTGTTTAAACTGCAGCAAGATCAGTAGTATCAAGACTTACCTTCTCTGTTATTGTTTTTTTGCTGGAGTTTCCTTGGAGGACCAGAGACCTGTAGTAGGAACGTTCTCACACCTTAATTAAAGTTTGAGCCTTTAACTATGAACATTTTTCTCCCACATTAGGGTTGGATGTTTGAGCTAGAGTGGTAAAAAAGAACCAATGAAGGATGGTAAACAGCCTGACCAAAAAAATCACTTCTCCTTTCAGTTCGTTAGATTTCACTTCCTTTCTGCTTGTGATGTCATAGTCCTATTAGTTCTCCACTCATATATAGAATCTTCCGGGAAAAACAAAAATTATAAGAGCTGCCCTTCTAGTGTGGAAAACAAACAGATTATTTTTTTATCAGGCCTTCTTCATACATTCTAAAGAAACAAAACAAAGGCACAAACCCATTTTTTTCAGATCATCTTTAAAAAATGTTGCTAAATGTCAGTTCCTTGAGCAAGATCATCATTAAGATACACTTTTTATCTATGCCAGAGTAAGTGTAATTAAATCGTATACTATAGGACATAAGCTATAAAAGGTCAGGGAGGAATTTTTACCAACACGTGTATCTCTGACACATTTGGCTTGGTTCATGGTGGGTGAATTTCATCTTCCATTGAAGCATCAGGTATTGGCAATTGCTAGACGAATACCAGACTGGCTAAACCAATGTAAATGTAAACAATGTGCAAATGTAAACAAACTGTCTGGTGACCCGCCAGCAAAGTACCCTGATAGGCTGTGTGTGGCCTGCGGGCTGCAGGTTGCCCACCACTGCTCTAAGTGGTCTCTATGCCACTAGATAGAACAGAACACCACACCCCGGAGGTGTGAGGGTTACACTAGCCCTAGCAAAGATTATCTTTAGGCTGTGTTTTTACAGAATTTGGTTTCGTCTGTACAGGCAAGATCAAACTCTGTCATAGCACAGTTGGGGCAGTAACTACTAAGCACTGTGGCAAAACTGGTAGTGCAGGCTCTCCTCCTCCTGGATTGGTAGTTATAACAAGATCATAGAATATTAGGGTTGGAAGGGACCTCAGGAGGTCATCTAGTCCAACTCCCTGCTCAAAGCAGGGCCAATCCCCAATTTTTGGCCCAGATCCCTAAATGGCCCCTTCAAGGATTGAACTCACAACCCTGGGTTTAGCAGGCCAATACTCAAACCACTGAGCTATCCCTCCCCCCACATAATTAGATATTATACAAGTGCTGACATCTGGCTTCCTGACTAATCCACTCTAGTGTGAAACAGAATTAGGATTGGGAGAATCAGTAACCTAACTGTTCAGACAGTTTTGTAGTGAATATGGCATTGAAATCAGACACCACAAAAATCTAACCTTGGAAAGCAGAATATCAAATTGAGTTGCCTTGTTCAGTACAAACTCCATTTTCAAGCTCTTGATCTCTTTCAGATTTGATACAAAGAGGTTTTCTTGTTTTATGTCCAGGGATATATTCGGCAGTGTCGTAAACATACAGGAATGTTCACCACGGCTCAGTTAAACACCATTTTTGGAAACATTGAAGATATTTACAAATTCCAAAGAAAGTTTCTGAAAGATCTTGAGAAACAGTACAACAAAGAGGAACCTCATTTAAGTGAAATTGGATCCTGCTTTCTTCAACATGTATGTAATTTAACTCCATTTCGCTTATGAAATAAAAAAAATGTGATCAGTAAATGTTAAACTACCGTGAGGAAGACACTTTAGATAGTGCTGATTATATGAAAACATTTAAAATCCCTCCCCTTTTTCCACCTCCACCCTTTGAGTAGGCCTATTTTCCTTGTAAGTGAACAGTCTTTCCATTTTCATAGCTATGGTGAACCCAAGGTCCCAGATGAACAGAACAGTTTCCAACAATCACAGGCAATGTTCCCTCTAATTTTTTCCATCCATGTGTGGAATAAACCTGGATATAATATATATTTTTAAAAAGTTACCATAGGTATAGGCATTATACCATAGGCATACCATAGGCATAATTACTCCAGCCAGGACAGGTTGGGCACTTTAGAACTCACTACTCAAAGAATTAAATTTAAGTGTAAGAGAAATAAAAATTATGAAATGCATAGACCAGTCAAAACACTAAAATAACACTTTGAAAGCATAAAATTACAGAGAATATATGTGCATTGCAGGAAATACCAAGAAGTAACAACAACTATAATACAAGTATGTGTTGAGAGGTGAGTGAGAAAGAGACAGAGACTCTGGGTGTGGGTGTGAGAGAGAAAGAGAGACAGAGACTCCGTGGGTGGGTGTGTTGGCTGCTGGGGAAAGTTGTGCACTGTCTCTTTAAGCAGTGAAAGCTTTCCTGCTCTGTGCTGAGCATTGTTGTTTCCCCTCCCCCACTCTGCGGAGATGGGGTACATGGGCAGGGGGAGGAGGGGAGAGTGTGTGTGTGTGTCTGAGTGAGTGAGTGAGAGAAAGTCTGTGTGAGCTGGCTTCTGGGGAAATGTCAGAAACAGTGCACTGTCTCATTGGCCTGGTCTATACTAGGGGAGGGATCGATCTAGGATACGCTACTTCAGCTACGAGAATCGTTGACTCTGCTTCTGCCTCACACTCTGGTAGAGTTCCGGAGTCAACAGCAGAGCGATCGGGGATCGATTTATCGGGTCTACACTAGATGCGATAAATCGATCCCTGATAGATCGATCACTACCGATCCAGTGGGTAGTGTAGACGTGGCCTTTAAGAAAGGCAGTCAGCCGACAGCCACTCACCATTCAGACTGCAGCAGCTCCTAGTCCTCCTGAGCCAGACTGTCCCCTCTGTCCTGCTCTGCAGAGATGGGGTACAGGGGCAGGGGGAGGGGGACATCCTGACATCAGCACCCTCCTCCCTCCCCCACCTTCTGCTCTGCACAGCCAGCAGGAGGGTCCCAGGAGCAGCTGCAGGATGGAGTAACATGGTGGGAGGGGCACCTGAACACATGCTGCCTCCTGTGCACAGAATGGCATTTAAACCTCTCCTGCCTGGCAGCCTACACACACAGCTTACAGGGAACACAGATCACAGGTTAACATTTAACTGCAGGCATCTGAGTTGATTTTGTTCTTTGGAAACTACATCCAGTATCTTCCCAGAGAAAATATTAACCAGGGTGTTTGACAAAGGTGGGAAAAGAGTCGCATATCACTGCTAATCGCCTACATAACCTCCAAGTAGACTTATGAAAAAAAGTTTGGCAAATAGAAATATCACTAAAAAATGCATTTTGGAGGGTTCAATAACTATTAATGTATTTGGGTAGAACTCGCTGAATAGTTTAGGCTTAAAAATACTTTTTTTTTTTCAAAGTCATTTTGCTTGAGAACAGCATTTTGTTTTCAAATTTGGCCAGTTTAAAAAAAAAAAGCGGGGGGGAGGGCATAAAAGCCAAAAATGATAAAATAGAAAAAAAAATTAAAAACTGTTTAGAGTCCATTCAAACATTTCACTCAACTCAAAATGACGTTTTTTCAAGTTTTTCAATTTGAAAAAATCTCTTAAAAAATTGGTTTCGTTCAAATTGAACTAGATTATCATTATTACTACTGTTAACCAAAAAAATCTATTATTCGACCATAGGAGGCTTCCAATTTCCAAGGCTCCTCAAAGAAAACCCCATATGACTGAGATTCACAAATGTGGTTAGCATAAAGAGATATTCGGGTTTTTTTCCATTTCAGAAATCAGCAAGCACTGCTGGCCAATGCACTCCCCCACAATCCACATTAACAGGAGTTTCACCTATTACCAATTGTAGAATAGATTCTCCTGTGTTTTCTAAATAGATTGTTATTCAGTTTGGGTGTAATTTAGCAAACTGTCTAATTAGTGTAACCAGAAGTATTTTATAACTTTAATATCGATTTTTGATTTTGTCTTTTTAAGATGAATGTTTTAGCTAAAGCTTTGGTTTTCCTTTATAGCAAGAAGGTTTTGCCATCTACTCAGAATATTGTAACAATCATCCCAGTGCCTGCCTTGAGCTTTCCAACCTAATGAAACAGGGCAAATACCGTCACTTCTTTGAGGCCTGTCGCCTGCTTCAGCAGATGATTGACATTGCTATTGATGGCTTTCTCCTTACACCTGTTCAGAAGATCTGTAAATACCCTCTTCAGCTTGCAGAGTTACTCAAATATACGACCGAAGTGCACAGGTGAGAGAATTAAAATGAGCTCTTTTAGACCATAATGCTACCTTATTGCTAAAGCAGTCTAAGGTAGATTTGGTCAGGCAGTGGATGACAACCTGCTTCCTTCTGATCAATGGCAAAGCTGTGATTGACTTCAGTGGGGACAGAATTTCACCCAATATGTTCATCATCCTGGGACTATGTGAAAAAATATTTCAGAAACAATGTACAGGTTAAATAGTCACCCTTGACTATAAGGGGACTGATCTGGAGAGAGAGACACACACACACACAGGAAGAGTGAGAGAGAAGGAGGGAAGAAAGGAATGAAGGAAGAAGAGATTTGTAAACCAGAGTGAAAAAACACCAAGGGAAAAATGAATAAGGGATACATGTAGGGGATAAAAGGAAAGAATTAGAAAAGAGAAGTGTCTCAGGGTATGTCAACACAGCAGAGAAAAACCTGCAGCTGGACTGTACCAGCCGACTCGGGCTTGCCAGGCTCGGACTGGAGGGCTGTTTCGTTGCTAGGTTGACTTCCCTCTCACCCCTCACGGTTCTAGAGTCAGCCACAGGTTTTTCTTTGCTGTGTAGACACACCCGTAGAGATAGAAAAGGTGAAGACAGTCTTAGAAGAACAACATAAACTGAACATGTTTAATAGTATTAAACACTGAAAAATTATGTTCAAGGGGAAAAAGGATACTGAAAAATCCTTATGAAATGATGTAGTTAGATTCTGCAAGAAACAAGTGAATCAAAGGCGGGGAGGGGGGAAGAGGGAACAACCAGTATAGAAAGACTAAATAATTTTGTGGTGGAAAAATATATTAATATATTACCCAGATTATCTACATTCATTGTTACTATCTTCAGTGTAGGAAACAACCCTGGACATAGGGTCTGTCTTAGGCAAAACTCTCTCCAAAGGAATATTTGCTGGTGATCTGAGAATCACTCATGTGTATGGATCTTCATTCAGTGTTTTGTTAACTGGCAGCCAGTTCAGGAAATGACCATTTCCTTTGTTATTACTGCACTCTTTCTTAACCCAGTAATCTCTTCTCCAGTATATACTTTTCCAGATGATTCCCATGATTCAACTGTCTTGGGTTTTTATCAGTCGTTTTGATGTCTTTTTTTTTTTTTTTTTTTACCATTTTCCCCTTCAAAATTTCTTCAGAGCCCTCACAAAATTCACTTAGAAAATGCTTATCTGTGCTCTGTGGAAAGAGACCAGGGGCTTCCCTTGGTCTGAGCTGTTTGATTTTGTTCACTAAATGTGCAAAGGAACTGAGGCTGAGTCATTTTCTCAACTCACCATGAGGATCCCAGTTTAGTGGACCTAAGAGAGCCTATGTGGTAACCAGAAACAGACCTTGCCTTCTTCACAGGATCATAGTCGGTTCTGCTTAATAAAGAATGATCTCCTTTCTGTAGAATACTGAACCAAATTATAGAACTTAATAGAGATTAAATACCTGCTTTAGTTCTGCACATGTCTCAAGAAATTCTGTAGGTTGGTATAAAAACGGTTGAAAGATTATCATTCTCTGTTAAATTACATTATTGTAGTCATTTATATAAATCCCTATCTAATATTGGTTTAATCCCCATTATACTGTATAGGACTTTTCTATAATAAATATGAGAACAAAAGTCTGCAAAACCTACTTGTTACTTGAGATATACGCAGAACCATTCAGCTACACACATTGTTGTCGTCATCATCATCATTACTCCCATAACCACATTGGTCATTGGCGCACCATCACTGATGAGCAATCAACCAATTGTCTCCACCCCTGATGATCGTGTGTCAGTGCTTGAGTCTCCGCGAAGTCCATTCCTGTCCACTCTTTAATGTTGTCAATCCATCTCTTCTTCTGTCTACCTCTTCTTATCTTCCCCTGTACTGTCCCTTGGAGGATGATCTTGTTACATGGCCATACCACTTCAGCTTGTGCTTCTTCACGGTTGTCAGGAGGTCTTCATATGACCCAGCGCATTGGGTAATGATGATGTGGACCTCTTCATTAGTGACGTGATCGAAGTAGGAGATGCCCAGGAGTTTACGGAAGTATCTCATCCCTACTACCTGTATTTTCCGTTCAAGTTCTGCTGTAAGGTTCCATGTCTCACATGCATACAGAAAAATGGAAATGACCAATGTGTGCAGCAGTTTCAGTTTGGATTCCAGGGAGATGTTCTTATTCCTCTAAATTGGCTTTAGCTTTGCCACTGCTGCTGTTTGCGCAGTTCTTGCCTGAATTTCTGCCTTGGATCCTTCATCAGTGATGATTGCCCCCAAATACTTGAACTGTTTCACTGTCTCCAGCTCTTGTCCACTAACAATGATATGTGAGCTGATCCCATCACGTTTGTTTGTCATCAACTTGGTTTTTTCTGCACTGATTTCCATGCCATATTTTGCGGCGGTTTCATCCAATTGTTTCACAAGGTTGGCAATGTGACCTTGTGATGCTAAATTTTTGGCTGCGGCAAAGGTAAATCGTGAGGCCAAGGTTCACCAGAACCAAGTTTGACTTAGAAAGACTCAGAGAATGAAACATTGCAGTCATTCCAAGCAATGATCGGCAGAAAATTTGCCCCATTGCTTGCTCTAGAGGAAGACGTAGAAACAATGATCAAGAATTTCAATGCTGTAATGAATGAGGCAGCAATGGACATCCTTGAGAAACATCATAAGAAGACAAAACCATGGGTCACAAATAAAATACTACAAATGTGTGACAGAAGAGACCTTAAGAGCGATAAGAACAGCACTGAGGGAGCTGATAAATACAGAGTGATTGGCAGAAAGATCAAGAAAGGAATGAAGGTGTCCACGGAGATATGGATTGAAAAACAATGCTCTAAAATTGAAGAGTGTGTCAATAATAAAAATAGCAAACGAGCCTTCCAGGTTGTAAAATATCTGACAAAGGAAAGATGGACCAAAGCTAACACAATTCAAGACAAAGGACATGTTGTGGTTTGAATACAAGACAGCACAAAGCTTTAAGCAAGCAAGCAGGCTGGTCTGCCGACGGACTGCTCCTGTCAGCTTTCCACTCTCTCCTTTATTCTTTCTCTCCCCCCGCGCATTACATTCTCCAACAGATAAAAGGAATACACTGGCTTTGTTTAACATTCTTATTTACCAATTTCTATCTACCGCATTCCTTGCTCTCGGGCCTTGAGCCCAGTCCTGGGAGGCTTCCCACGGTTCATGTCATCTGGGCGAGATTCCAAGGTTCATGCCCTTGAGAGGAGCCGTGTGTGCACTGCTCCTACACAACACTCCGGGTGTGCCCTGAATGTTGCCAAGTGCATGAATCTTGCATGAATGCTACATCTCCTCCTTTTTTGTTTATTTGTGCTCAGCCATCTCCTGGTAGCCATCAATTTGCTTTTGCAAGCCAATTAACTCCCGGACAGACAAGGTCATAACTCTTGGAGCCTGCCAGGGCGGTTCTCGACAAAGCCTTAACAAAAAGGAAATACATTGCACACAGCAACAGCAAAAAATAAGCCCAAAAAGGTAAAGTGTAGTTGGCGGGCCCCAATTAGCCATGCTAGAGTACTGGGAAGAGAGGTTCACATAAGCAGCGAGCATCATCTCATTCCCTATTTCCTCAGGGTGACAACATACTGGAATAAGGCACGTACCTAACAATTCTTCAGCTGCTACAAAATCAGATAAACAAAAGTGGGTAACATTTACTATTGAAGCCAATCTTTCCCATAGGTTATATGTCATTCGGGCCCGTAACAGAGGAGGCGCTCCCGAGTCAACCCCTACAGGAAATAGCAGGCACATAAGGCACACAATCAATACAGAATTAGCAGTGATTTGGGCGAGAATGGCCACAAACAGAGTCTCAGGAGTCTCTGGCTGTTGGTTTGCTGCCAGTCTTCGTTGAGCTGCGGCGACCAATGCTTTCACTGCTCCCCATGTCACGGGCTGGCTTGGGACGCTACGTCTCCTCCGTCTCCATCCCGCCATTGTCGACCCAGGAGGCACCGCGTTCTCCTCCAAGGTCAGCTGAAACTCCGGTATGGGGTTCGACAGCCCCTGGTGCCACGCCATGCTGTTTCAGTGCCGGTCACACACACCGGGCCGGAACTCACAACGGTCCTTCAGGGAGAGAGACAGCAGCATATCCCCGACCCCAAGTAATTAAAGGTACTGGGCCCAACCATTGCGGATCGGGCTGACGGTAATAGACACGCGGTCTTTCCAGTACCTCCGATTTGTGAACATGCCGATCCACGGGGGTTTGCTGAATCTGTGTTCAGCGTTAAATTATTTAAAGTAAACAAAAGGACATGCAATTGTTGCTGAATGTCTAAGATTCGGAGATGCAGCTCCCCTTGTTTTAATTGTTTGTCAAGCAAGGTTTTTAGCGTGCAATTTGCACGTTCAACAATAGCTTGGCCTGTGGAATTATAAGGGATCCCGTGTTTGAGATGGACGTCCCATTGGGCACAAAAGGTGGAGAGGGCTGTGGAGCAATAGGCTGGGGCATTATCCGTTTTTATCTGGCTCGGGCGACCCATAACAGCAAAACAGTCTAGCAAATGGTGAATAACTTTGGGAGTGGCTTCCCCACACTGTGGGGTCGCCCAAAGAAATCCCGAATAGGTATCAATGGAAACATGTAAAAACGAATAGGGGCGGAATTGTGGCACGTGAGTGACATCCATTTGCCACAGCTGATTCGCTGCGGTACCTCTGGGGTTAACAGCATAAGAAAAGGTAGGGGCAGCAGCGGCACAGTGGGGGCAGGAACGAACAATAGAACGTGCATGATCAGCAGGAATGTAAAATTGTCGGGCCAAAACAGAGGCAGACTGATGAAAAAAGGAATGGCTTTCAATGGGGTCAGAAAAAAGGGAATTTACCTGACCACGTAACGTGCGATCAGTGCGCGCATTGCCTTCAGTGAGTAGCGCAGGCAGAGGGGTATGACTGCGAATATGAGCAACAAAATAAGGAAAATTACGAGTGGTGATGAGAT